GTCATTTGAATGCATTTAAATGATCCTTGAGGGTTGTATTAGCATGATTTCATGCTTATGTTGCTATGCTAATTGCTCTTGTTTATCCCTTTCAAGTGTGCTTAAGGGTTGTTTTAAATTTGTGCCTAAGTGTAGGCCTTCCATCATATGTATGTGTGCATGTGTTTTGGCTTCTTGTTTTGGTCATTATGGCCACTGTTTAGGCCTTATTAGAGCTGCCTAATTCATGTATAAGACCCATCTTAGCATTAGTTTGCATTGCCATATGTATGCTTGTATGCTTGCATGAGTGCCTTTGCCCATGCCATGTTGTATCCTGCTTGTATGCCTAGGTGCATTGCATCTTGCACGCATTCCTTGTCCCTGACTTGGGTGATAGGGATTGGGAGTTTTGTTTGATTGGTTTGCATACATTTGAAATCAAAGTTGCATACTTGGTTCTTGGGCCATCATGCATGGAAATGCGTGATTGTGGTCCGGGAACCGAGGAACATGTCCTTTGAGTCATTACAATGATAAGAGACATGGTTGGTGCATACATGCTTTGAATTGTGCTGCCATGCTTTGCCTTGCCCTCTGTTGCTGTGAGTTGCAGGTTCTGCAGGAATACTTCTGCCGACCGGCAGTGTAATGTGCCGACCGGCAACAATTTCTCTGCCGACAGATTCAATTTTGTTGCCGATGGCCCACCCACACTGCGGTGGCAAATCTCAATCAGCTGGTGGTGATCCTCTCTGTCCAAGGGATCAGTCCTGAGCTTTGACAGCCTCCAGAGGAGGAAAGAGAGGAAAACAGAGGCAGCCCATGCATGGTGCGCCGCTTCCCGAGGCGTTTTCCCTGTTTTAATTATTTATTTAATTGTTAATTAAATTAGTTAATTTGTAATATAATTAGCTTGCGTAGTTAATTAATTTGTAATATTTATTCGGTCCCTCCGAGCGAGGGCAGTCTGTAATAAGTGTGTGTGGGTGGTGTGTATGTCTTCCAACCTCACTTCTTTCTTCCTTTTACTTACCCGCTTAATAGTTAGTATTAGGGCACGTTTAATTTAGCATACCTCATGCTATGCATGTGTGCATCCATGCATTTGTATTGCATGCATTAGGCTCCGGTACATCACGCTAATTGCATCAATTACTTCAATTCCCAAACTGAATACGTGATAATTGTGCATTTTCACATGACATGTTTAGGATAGCCGAGCCTATTCTAACAACACTTTGTATGCGATGCATTAGGCACTTAACATGGACTTGGATCATGCATGTTTGCTAACAAGTTCTTTGTTTTGGCACGGAGTACGATGTAAGTATTCCGCTTTAGCATCTCGCATGTGTGTGAATGTTAACATGACAGTAGCTTGCCATGCGGCTAGATGCTTATGTGTTTAACACTGTTTTGAATGCCTGTGGGTGAAGGTTGGATTGTTTGAGTTGGAGGAACTCATTGAAATCCGTGTTTTAGCCTACTTGCGAGTAGCAAATTCCAGAGCATTTTCAAAACGAATGGATATGCAATGTCTCTTTCCAAATTAGGCAATCTAGTCTATACTTGTTTGCTGCGCGCATAACATAGTAATTCTAGCTAATAATTGGTTTAGAACACATAGCGTTTTCAAAATTGGATATCCGGTATATAGAGGCCGTCTTCGGACCGGGAGAAAGGGGGGGCTCATAGCTGACCCTTCCCCGATCGTACCTAAGCTCCCGAGCCGAGCACATCCCGGTGATGACGGAACATGTGGCCTTCGGCACCGAGTCAGGGTTTCCTAAATTCTCCCATTTTAAAATATTTAGGTGGCGACTCTGTATCTGGCAAAGTAGTCCATGTTTGGCACTACTTTTTCAAAAATCTGTTTCTCAAAACGATTTGCCAGATTTGGACTCTTTGGTTCAGATTAAGAACCGTGACACAAGTCGAGTCCGAATTGTAGTAACCCCAAATGAACAGAACGGGACTCATCCTCCCGGGGCGTTCCGGGACGTCTACACCGTCGTACTATGTATGACTCGTCTAACAATTTTAATATACAACATTGAAAATAATTATATAACATAATTTGAATGAAACATTTATTGCACAAAAATATCTAAAAGTTATATAATTTATCCAAATCAAATCAAAACTAAAAATACTAAATATAATAAATCCTAATTATTTGGTCAGAGTTTTATCCCTATCCTAAGAAAAAAATATTAATTTCTGACACTCATATAACTACCACACTCTAATATATACACAATACACTCTCCTACTTTCCCTTTCTTTCTTTCTTCCCTTAACTTCCTTGGCCAAACCCACCGCCTCCACTCCTCCTCCTTTCCTTTATCTTTTTCTTCTTCTTCTTTTATAGAAGAAAACCTATAAATAAAACAAACATAATAATGTAAATAATATAATAATCAAATAAAATATTATATATAATTAAGTAGTAGGATAGTTACGAATGGCAATTTGAACTCGGTCCGATGAGAACCCGACCCGCCCCGTCCTGATAAGTCAGGTTTTTTCCAAAAATTATGCCCCATAAGATCGGGCCTAGTATTGAAAAATAGATCCCTGACTGTTTTTGGACCGGGAACGGTGATAGGTTTTTGGCGCCACCCTGAATATAGCCAAACTGTCCCCATATATATATACATATATATAGTATGTTTAGGGCTTTTCTCACGCATTTCACTTCTCTCACACAGTCACAGATTTCAATTCTCTCTCTCTCTCTCTCTCTCTCTCTCTCTTTCTCTCTCTCTACCCTCTTCATTCTATCTCACACTCGCCTGAACTTCCTGCATGGGTTTTTGTCTCTGACATCTTCTTCGGCACCTCCGTCTATCTCAAGATCTCTGAACGTGTCTCTCTCTCTTCAACTGCCATAGATCAGTTTCTTCCTACAACTCTCTCTCTCTCTCTCCATATACATATGTATTTATATATATTATAGGCCGGGAATTTTCGAGGTTGGGAAAACCTGATCTCTATTAGGGGGCGGAGGCGGAGACAGTGATAAGTTCCCCATCAAGGATCGAGTGTTGGGGACGAGAAAATTTTCACCATCGGAGATCAGAGACGGGGAGTGTGATCCCCGGGCCCGCCCCACCCGTTGCCATTGCTAGGGATGGTTAACCACCACCACCTCGTTCATTTCCTTTTATTTTGTTTTTTTTTATTTTCTTTGTCTTTTCTTTTCTTTTGATTATAAATTTCGCAAAGTGTACAAGGAGTTACTGTGCACTTTGTAATATAATAATAAAATATCTAAAATGTATTATTTATATTAATTTATGTATAAACACTCAAAATATATAAAAACATATAAAATTATAAAATAATACAAATTAATGGACTAATAAAATGTATTTTAGTAGGTCAAATGTGTAACATTTAAGCTCAAATCATGCTCTAATCGTTGCGATCTAAATCAAGGCAAACTTGATTTGACCAGATCTAGAAGGATGGTGGTGGTGGGAGGAAAGACAATAGTTGGCTTCAATCTGAGCTTGTTGGGAGGCGTGGTGGCTCGCGAAGGGAGCTCGGCGAAGGTGTGGATGCTCTCCTGTGAGACAGTAGTAGTGAGCCCAACGGTGGTGAGACGATAATGGTGCCTCACCACGTGGAGTTGTCGTCAGAGCCACCACCGATGGACGGCGACAAACAGTCGAACAGTGAGAAGAGAGAGTGAGATAGAAGAGAGAGAGCGATTGTGTAGGGTTTAGGAATTGGACTGTATATAGGAGATATACAAAGGAAGGGTATTTTGGTCATTTTGTTTTAACTTATCATTTTGGACAAAATATTTCAACGTCAACCAAAATTGAAAATTAAATTTATGGACTGAGTATCCTAATATTTTTATATATATTCTGATTACTTAATATCTCTGTCCAAACCAAACCAAACCAAAAGTAAACAAAACTTTTTACTTTTTTACTAAACTCACTGACTTAAAACATATGATGTACAAGCCTTCAAAATTTTAAACCGAACTTAGGTTGCTAGAGTTAAACCACGCACCTAATATTTTGGCTGGTGACATACACAAGCCACGGACTGCATCTCTTCACTCCATCGACTAAATTGAAGCTACTCTTTAAATTTTTACCCTAAACACGTTATTCCTTGAAGACATGTTTTTCAAAACACCATTTTTAAAAGATTTCATTTCAAAAAAACCACTTCATAAAACAACATATAATTCATTAATAAATTTAAAACAACTTGTGATTAAAGAATGAGATCCCCACCTCATGTTTGATAAATAAATAAAATCCTATTTTCATTGCCAAATGGTTTTGGAAGCCCAAAGCTCAGAGAATTCCCTAGAGAGTTGGCAAATGTCCCTGTGAAATCCAGTGCCTAAGAAAATCAATATAAGCTTCGGCAATTAAAAGGCACTTGTTTACTAAGGCTCTACAAATGAAGATTGACATTTTAAAATTCTCACATTTCACCCCCAAAAAAAAAAAAGATTTGACAATTTATACCCAAAATTTTGAAACAACTCTCATTTCAAAGATTGACATTTTATACTCATTTTAAAGATGTGTGTGAACCTATGGAGTTTCTGTTGTAAACTTCATCAGGGCATTCCCTCCATTTCCAAAAGGCACATCAATCATATAAATAAATCTCGAGGTTCTAAAGCCCTGTTCTGAAAGAACTAAATAAGTAACTCTTTTACTAAAAAAGCCGAAAGCAAGTAAATCTGTTTGAGATGCCTTCTCCATTAAAAAATTATCTTTTTATCAAATTTGTGAAACGATGGTTTTATCCTCAATACTTTCAGAAATTCCACCATGTTCCTACAGGATTTTCCAATGCTTAGGTAATATGATAATCTCTCATCAAATAGCCAATTTGAAAAGATCCAAAAAAAATACCCTTTTTAGCAATTACAAAACACGTCAAAATTTTAAATTCTGAAAAAGCAATTTCCAAACTCCATTTAAGCACATGCTTCTTTCAAACCAACAAGCAACCGGGAACAATGCACACTTTTTTCATGAAAATTCACTTGCTGAATTGCCCTACTTGAGAGCGAAAACTGACATGATCAAACAATTACAGCCATTACATCCTTCAATTACACAAAGATGATTTGGACCCTCTCCATTTTTGTACCAGAAATGAAGAGGTCCAGTCAAAAGATCGTGGCCACACTTAGTAAAATGAGTAGTCACAATTTTGCTAAGAAACTATTTCACATGCTAAGACAGATTATGAATAACAAGAAATAGTCCTGGTGGTCCACCTGAGAAATCGGAATATCACCCTCCTTGAGGGACTTGAGGTAATTTCATATATGAAAATTCAATACTTTGACAAGAATCGAGCATCATTTTTTATTATCATAAGCAGCTATATTCTGGGGTTCGCATTCAGGACTGAAAAGGCAGACCAACAAAGCAGTGGTCGAGCTTACAGAGACGGCTCCACAAGCTGCCCATCTAAGGCTCCTTGGAACTGTGATTCTAGGGCCTGCATTAGTATAGAAATCATAGAGTAAAATGTCAAACTTATAAAGCTGGTACAGCAGCAAATCAAAGAAAGGGCTTAACATGTGCGACTACAATTCATTTTTTCATGAAATTCATCTAGAAACAAATTGAAATATTTATGTTTGAAATTCAATAACTGGAAAACAGTATAAACTTGTATCTCACTTTAAACATCAATGGTGATTGATGAATTACTCTTCAAAGAATTAAAATCAATTACACAGAACTATACTTATTCCCTTAAACTCTAGTTGTAATGAATTTCCAAACCAATTTATTAAATAATAATGAATTTCGAAAGAGGGATGCTACGCAGCAGGCTAGCAAATTATTTTTTAAGTATATGGGAAACTCTCTTCCACTGACTAAACATGAAAGTGAAGGTCAAATGGACCAACAGGCAAGCTTCATTTGAGCAGATCTGAGTTTCTCCATTACCATAATCCAACTGGTGCTATTAACAAAACTCACGAAAATTAGTTAGCTAGAAACATTGAGTAACTCAGACCAGCTAGTAAACTTCAGATTCGACTATCTAAAGAAAGAGCCGAGTTCAATAGACAGTGCTTTCAAGAACATAAAATGATTCAAATTAACAGAAAATAGCATGTATATAAAGACAAATAGGGGTTACTAATACCCATGCCCTAGAAAGAATTTGAGCAAGAGGGAGATTTTTTTTCAGTTTCTTTCTTTTTTTTCCCCACTCTTTTCCTCTCACTCCTTTTTTTTTTTGTACTAGCTTTGTTGGCCTTACAAAGGAGCCCCTATTTGCATGTTTCAAAGCAAAGGCAAAAAATTAGAAAATTTTTACCACTCACATCACAGGTGAATTAATACCCATGGCCTGAAACCTAACAATACAAAATGGCCAAAAACCAAAATTTGAGCTATCAAAGAGGCTTCTCCACTCATCGAAAGGTCCTCCTGCTGTATACCCTTTATAAAAGTCACACTACCACCACCCCAACCAACCAAACATTACCCCTGCCACCTCCCTTTGGAAAACCCAATCCGTACTAAACAAAACCAGGATCAACCTCCACAAATCCAAGAAATGTGGTTGCTTTCTTTTGACAACAGTAAGGAAATAAAGGATTCTCAATTGACAGGCCTAGTATATTGATAGAAAGAAAAAATAAGCAATAATTGTGCTCAAATGTACAACAAAATAAAATAAAATGTGAAAAAAAGAGAGGAGATGAGGTGTCCATCCTCTCTAATGCAAGAAAAATCACTCTTCTTGCTCTAGTTTCTTTTGGAATCACAGAGGTGTACAGTAAGTTGGTAACACGCCACAAACAATAGACTACAAAATTCTGCTTCAATTCATACTCCAAAACCGGAAGCTTACATCCCTAGTTATATTTTAGCACAGAAGGTTCACTTTGGGAGATTAAAAAAATAGTCGATAGCTAAAGAACTTCTTAAAGAGGGCAATTTGGTGACAACTCTTTAACAACCAAGTAGATGACAAGCATGGCTGCGCCAAAGAACAAAGGAGGTTACCTAGAGGCTAAGTCTGCAACCTTCTAGAATTAGGAAACCAAAACAACAAAATATCCCTAAAGACTCCAAAATTCCCTTATAATATAAATCTAGCAATATCATTTTACTACAAGATGGTAAATATCCTCAAACATCAAAAATCTTCAAATCAACTAATTTCAAAGTTGTTGTTGCTTTGAACTTGAACCAATTCTCTTAATTTCACCTTTCTTTAAATTTCTTGTTCTCCATCTCTAAATTAGGTCTCTCTATTACTTTATTATCCCTCTATTATGTGACTTTAAAAGTCTCTTGTTACTCCCAGATTCACGTACCAAGCTTAATAAATTTTACTGATACCACTTTCTTTCATCTATTTATTGAAGCCAAAAAAAACATGGGCAACAAACTGTCATGAGTTCCATATATTCTACAAATTGCCGATAATTTTAGAAATTTTATCTTCAGTTACATCCATCATTTTCATTTCAATAGCATTCGCGTCATGATTATAAAACTGTTCATATCAATTAAAATCCTTGTCCGTTCAGATTGACTTTTCATCCTCTGCTGTGTGAGTCCCATAGTTTGTTCTCTAAGGAACAAATGGTGTTGGAATAAACACTCACACAAATACTCAAGTAATATTAGCATATAAATATGATAACTTATTGATACTACTTCTGAGGTAAGTACTAGCTAAACTAAGTGTGGCAGATTTTGACTTCTCACTTTATTTTTCCTCAACAAAAACATGATTAAAAAACCAGTAAGATAAACAAAAAAGAAGCAACTGAGGATAATCCAGTAAGTAAAACTGGTGTTCAAAATTTCTCCATGAATAATTGAGCATTATATACGATAATGCATAATATATGATCATATGAAGTAAATGAGACAAAATCGCATATGACATTAGAAGAGAAAATAAAGTGTAGCAAATAAGAAAGTAAAACAGACCATAATGCAGACGACAGAGAACCCAAAACCCCAATCCTCCACCAACAGTAAAAATCCCAGCAGTTTGCCTCATTAATCTGGAACAAGGCTTTGCGTCTGATCTCATCAGCTCGCCATCAGAAAACCCGAAAAAACGCCTCAATGCCATGTCCTTGTGAGAAGGAAAAAAAAAATTGAGCCAAACACCCTGCTGCTTGTGCTGGTGGTTCGAAATTTAGTCTCTTTCCAGCTTGTATGGTGCAACAGGCTTTTAATGGGTCCTGGCCAGTGAAAATAGGAATGACCTGCTTCAAATAGCAATCTCCAAATAAAAACAAGGCCCATTCTAAGTGGTATTGCAAAAAAGGGAAAAGAACAATGATATACACTGTTTATCATTAGTGGGCGTTTGGGGTAATGATAAAAAAAACCCATCTTTTGGCCAAAAAGCCATCACATTAACTTTTTTCACTCAAAAAAAAAAAAAGAGCATTTTTAGCAACTTCTCAAACACATTAGCTTTTTTCGATTCTAAAAAAGTCATTATTAAATTCATGGAACCCCAATAGAGCGAAAAGACAGTAATTTCTTCAAAAAATGCTGTTACACATACTCCAAGCAACAGCAGGAAATTCAGGTACATTTTTTGTTTTTATTTTTTTCTCCTCTCTGGGCAGTAATTTCATTTTCTTTTTATTGAGCTTATTGTGGTTGCACTGACAGCAACATTGACAAATATTTTCACCGGTGCACCTTATCAGCCAATAAAAGACTGCAAATGGGAAAGTGGACACAGGCTGGCCCTGAGTTTTATGGAGCCCTAGGCGAACTCTGAAGATGAGGTCCTCTTATATTTTAAAAGCAAAGTTTGCGAGTAAAACAGGAAGTGCTCACAATTTTTTTTTTTTTTTAACTACCCACACAAAATTTACTTGCATATATAATACTAGAATTATAAAGTAAACTTCACTTTCACAGATTAAAACGGGAAGAAATCAGTACAAAAACTCAAAAAATAAAAATCTGGTCTCCTTTGGTATCCATTAACTCATCCTACTAAATTATAGATAGAATTAATACCGAAAGGCACACGCATGAAAGGTGGATAATACAGAGTTTAACACATGGTTCCCACATAATAAGGCCTTGTTTGGGAAAATTGAGTTTTAGCCAAAAAGCCACTACAAATTGTCAAATCATTCTCTCTACTTTTCTACATGTCTTTTCGTAAAAGCCTAAATGCTACATAAAAAAAGTCAATTCTCAATATACAGATATATGGTGGAGATATATATAAGTCAATGTAACATACTAGATAATAATATACAGATAATAACAAATGGTTCACACATCAATGTATGTATATTACATAATTAAGTAAAGCTCCATCATTAAGCTCATCCAATGATAGACCCAAGTCTCCAGTTTATCAAGGTCTCAACAAAACTAGCATTGATTCATAGAAAAAAAACCCACATTGATTCAACACACTAAAGGCCTATTTGATTGGCCAGATTATAGCATAGGATTAGGATTATTAATCTATTGGACTCACAGTCTATTGTTTGGTTGCATTTTTTGTTATCCGGATTAGATTTTAATGGACATTCTATCCAACAAAATTGACGAATTTTTTAATACTACAACTAATAATTCAATACAAACTTATAATTGAGATTATATATTTCCATAGTTATAGCAAAACAAACTTGGATAAGAGCAAATTATTTATTTCACTAATCCAGCTAGATAACCAATCCTACATGCCTAGGCCTTTAGTGGCCGAGTGGCATGTAGCCACGCCTTAGGGTGTGATGAGTGAAAGGTCAGGTTCGAGCTGATGGATCAGCGGCGGTCCTTTTAAATTGTAACCAAACTTTACTAACAGAATACCATTCCATCTTTCAGCCAAACAAAAAAAACAATCCTATACTAATCCCATAATTGTTAATCCCCTCACTATTAATCCTGTAATCAAACATGGCCTAAATAGATAAAATCTCCTTAACCACAATGGAAAATAAATTGCAACAAAAACAGAGCTATCGAAAAGATCCACAAATTAGGGCACAAAAAATAATAGAACTTAGGGCAGAGATTCTTCCAAGAAAATGAGTTGAAGGAAACAAAGAGGACTCACAGTACACAGATTAAATCCCCACAGAGAGATTCTTCGCACACGCTGTTTATGGCGTTGGTGTTGGTAGAGATGATTAGGGGTGTGCGCGGTGCGAGTCGGTGTGGTTTAGGAGAAAAATAGAAACCGTACGACGGGTAGCGGATTGATAAAAGTGTCATTAGAAATTGCCATTTTTCTTACCAAAAACCAACAGTTAGGCTGGCAAACAATGGCGGATTTGCCTTGACGGTTCGGGCGGATTGGCGGTTTATAAAAAATATAATTCAAATTACAGAACTTGAATCGAAGAGTAAAAATATCTAATTTATAAATTAACTAAAACAGTCAAAATTAAAATATTCATCTAATATAACATTAAACATTAACAAACTAGTAAACTAAAAATCCAACGATCCAAACAAGTTATACAATAACAATTTAACAAGGCATTAAATACTAAAAGAAATAACATCATCCAACATCCAACATAATTCTAAAAAAAAGTTCTCAAATGTTAAATCTAATCATCAAAGTCCACAAACAATCCAAAAGTTCAAAAGTTAATCTAATCATCAAACTCAACATTACTCCATTTATTGAATGTATGGGAAATTTATTAGAATGTTATTTTGAGAAGAGTTGTGAATCCCAAACAAATAAAAATAAATACATAAAAATTATTAATATGGGTTTTAAATTGAAAAAAAAAATGAATGAAAAACATGAGCAGGGAGCAATTATATGGCATACATACAAACCACACTGTGAGTAGTTATATATACAGAGAGACAGACAGACAGACTTATACGGCACACATACAAACCAAACTGTGAGTGGTTATATATATATATATATAGAGAGAGAGAGAGAGAGAGAGAGAGCAAAGAGCCACGTACCGACGACAAGCGAAGAGCAGCGGCGGTGGGCGGTGAGCGGAGAGCAGCAGCGGCGGAAAGGCAAACGGCGGTGATAGAAATGAGATGTTTGGGGGTCAATTAGGTTTAATTGAGAAATTATTCTGTGTGTGTGTATCTACATTTAGCATGGTAGATGTAATCTAATAGTTGCTGGATGTGCATATAGCATAGCAGAAGGGTCAAGTTCGATTGCAGAATTGCTTGGCGGGTCGGCTTGGTTTGCAAGCGGATTGGGATTTTCAAACCGCCACCCACTGTCACGTCTACAACTTGCAGCTGCCCACCTCACCTGTCAGAGTTGAAAAAATGTGCGATTCGATGTGATTCGGTATGATTTTGACGGTACTAGGAATGATGAAGAATAATAGAAAGAAACTTTGCTCTTAGTTATTGTTTAGAAACTTGGATCGGACCGGACCGGCCGTTTGAACGGATTGAATCGGGAATCAAACGTTGTTCCGGTCTAGAAAATTCTCTAAATCCAGATTAAGGCTAAAATCGGTGTAAAATTAAAAAATCGATAAACTCGGCGGTCGAACCAGTAGAACCGATGATCGAGACCGGATTTTAAGGGTCGACCCGATTTTTTTTTTTTTAAATTCTATCTTTAACTCTCTTCTTTTTTTTTTTTCTTATTTTCTTTCTTTCTACTAAAAATTCTTAATTCAAAAGTCTCCTCTTATAAGAAGGAGTCTCATTGGAAGCTTGAAGAGATTATGAAAACTTATTGCTATTTATAGAAAGTGATTTTTCAAAGAGAACCTACAAAATTCTATGTAGGATGCAATCAAATTATTTGAATCATATTGATTGGAGAGAAATTTGAAAATTTTATTTCCTTCCAAAATTAAGGCCAAGTTTGACATACTTGAAAGAAGACAAAAAGTCAAAAAGTCACTATTCTATTTAAGTCACATCATCTTATTTAAGTCATATCACATTTCTAACACATCACTTCAAACCCAACCCAAACCCAACCCATATTTCATAAAAAGTCAAAAAGTGCACTTATTTAGATCATCCCGAACAACTCCTAAATCTAACATTCAATCAAAAAAATTTAATTTCTTTAAAATAAGTAACTTTTTCTTATCAGTTATTATTTTATTAAATATTATTAATAAATACTATGTAACAATTTTTATTTTTATTTGAGTATTTATATATTTTTTTATTTATTTATAATTTATAATTATATTTTTTAATTATATAATATTAATTATGACGTCACGGTTCAATCGTTTTGACCTGACGGTTGAACCGGTAACCCGTCCACCCGATCCTTTTTCCAGTTCGCTCACCGGTCTAGTTTTCAATTTCAAACATCTACTGAGATTACTGATATAAAGATTTTTCTTTGCAATTTAGACCCAAAATTTTATAAAATTGTAAGTTGACCCCTTTTTTTTGTGGTCCCATATGACTTGGGCTGAATTAATTACACTGGGCCTATTTGTTCTGATATATATTATATAAGAATAATATTATATGTACTAATTAATGTACTAATTAGTATAGTAACAGATGATGTGATATAATTTTAGAAGTTTTAGATATTTGTAATTTATATAATATGTAGAGTCAGTAATAATGGCATAATATTAATTAGTATACTAATATATACATTAATTAATACATGTAACACCGCCGATTATATAAAGGCTTGAACTGGACTTTTGATAAAGAAAAAAATATATATAGGACCTAAACTGGACTTTTGGCAAAGAAAAAAAATATAGGATTTAAACTGTACTTTTGGCAAAATTGTTTGGTTTTCTCTTGTTTTTTAGAAATTAAAGTTTTTTGTTTTGTTTTTTTTTATTTTTTTTAGTAATTTTTTATTTTTTTATTTTTAAGATATACTTAATCTAAATCTAAAAACACTTAAAAAGTATAATATTTGTAAGAAATTTACTATATACAAAAAAAAAATTGTAAAAATTCAATATATTTTCATGTTCGTGTATTTATTGATTTTTTTTATAAAAAAAAACTCAATTTTTAAAAAATCAACAAAATCAAACAAGTGTCCTCTAATCAAATATGGAATGGGTGTTGTCACTGCACTCGACACCTCATGAGTTTATTCTGAACTTATTTTGATGAGTTGAACTGTTTATATTATAAGATTTATCGAGCATATCAGTCATAAAAACAAAATAAGGTTAATCGGACATACACAACCTCATAATTAGTCCTTGATTATTTTTTCAAAAATTATCAAAATCATGCTCTTTTTTTTTTTTTGAAAACGTAAATGTGGTGTTCTTTTTTTATTTTATTTATTGATAGATAAAAACAGATACATCAACCATAACCCGTAACATATTACAACCAACAACTAAGAGAGACAAACTCAAACCTCTATGAATGTTGAGAAAAGCCTCCACAAATGAGGGAAAATACAATAAAACAAAATATATAAATAAACAAAAACACATAAAAAATCATCAGAAAACCATATCCGCATAATCCATAGTGTAGGATCGACAAGCAACTTTTGTGTTGACCTCAGATCTACAGCCCACGGAGGCAATGGAAGCCTGAATGGTACAAAGCCTTAGATCTGAGATCAAAAGACCATGTGCCAAGAATTAAAAATGAGTCGAGAAACAGAGGAAACCTACATAGACTGAAAGAAAAGGGAAAAGAGAGGGGGATTGGATGTCACCACCCCCTCTCCTCTGCCATGGTAGCAAGAGAAAACTCTGGAGTTTGTAGAAAGAGAGGCTCTGGTTTCGAGAGAAAGATAGAGGTAGTTGTAAATGTGGTGTTGTTATAGAGTTACAAATGTCCAGTTAACATAATTTAAATCATCAATTATCTAATGAATGGTATACTCGACAAAACGTACAATATAAACGGTTCAGATTATCAAAATAAATTCATGACAAATTTAGCGCATATATATATTTTGGATTTATTACACTTTATACCCCTAAACTATTGTAAAATGCTCTATTTAGTCCCTGAACTATCGATTGTGTCTACTAGGTCCCTAAAGTATATAATTCAAAGTTTATTTAGTCCCTAAACTATCGATTGAATCCATTAAGTCCCTAAAATATTTAATTTAAATTTATTTAGTCCCTAAAAAGATTAGAAAAGTAAAATATAAGCCCATAAATATTATAAATTAGTAAAAAAACCTCATCTAATTAACATTTTATTTCAAAAAAACTTTAAATTTTTATTTTGTCTTTGAAAAGTGGGCGTCAATCTATATATTGAATTTCTTTTATAAGGATAAGGGTAATTATTAAATCTTATTCCTTCTTTTGACACCTTTAATATAAATTGACGCCAAGGTGGTTTCATATAAATTTTCTTACTTATCTTCTACAATGGATACGTATCAGTTATATGCTCGTGCCTGAAGATAATTACTTTTAGAAAATAATATAACTTAATAAGTCATAATCTATATCGTGCCTTCAGGCACGAGCATATTTGGATTACAATTGATTGAAAGCATTTCTTACTTATCTTCTACAATGGATACGCCAAGGTGGTTTCCTTTTCTGTACTATGATTTAAGATTCTATAAATTTTCTTACTTATCTTCTACAATGGATACGTGCTTGTCTTTGTCTAGTATTATTATATGCCAAATTTTGTTTATAATTTCTAATTGATTGTTTTTAAATTTTTCGCTAAGTTTTTTTTATTACTTAATTAATTTATTATTTTGTTATATTACTGTTTGCAGAGAAGTGTTATTATTTAAATTATCTAATTCTACTTCTTCAATATATCTAATGCTCATATAATTTATTGGTAAAACTAAAAAATTAGACACACAACTAAATAAAATACTTTTTAAAGACAAAATAAAAAAAAAATTTAAAAAATTATGTAATAAAATCTAATTGGGGAAGGTCTTTTACTAATTTATAATACATAGGGGTATATATTTCCATAGTTATAGCAAAACAAAGTTGGATAAGACCAAATTATTTATTTTACTAATTCAGCTGGATAACCAATCCTATACGTGGAGGCCCTTAGTGGCCAAGTAGCATGTAGTTGCACCTTAGGGTGCGGTGAGTGAAAGGTCTAAGGTTCGAGCTAATGGGTCAACGATGGTCCTTTTTAAGTTGTAACCTAACTTTACTAACATGCTAATATTCTATCATTGACCCAAAAAAAACAAAAAAATCCCACACTAATCCTATCACGACCAAGGCCGGCCCCGAGGGCAGGCAAGAGAGGACTGCGCCTTGAGCCCCCAAATTTAGGCTGAAAATCGAGGCCCTTAAATATAATTTTGTGTTTTAAATATTAAAAAAAAAGGCCCAAATACTATAGGCCCAATTGAACTGATCGTGGTTCAATTGTAAACTGGATATTGCTAAACTATAAAGCAACAAGATCATATTTTTATTTTTTTTGAGTGTTTGTAATGATTGTTTTCTATCTTAATATATGAAAGTAATTTTTTTTTTTATAATTTTAATGATTTTATGTGCAACTAATTTTTTTTGTGATTACAAACAAATAAAAAAGTTGTTGTAACTTATCGTTTTATCCATAAATTATTTTTTTATTTTTTTATTTTTTTGTGTGTGTTTTCAGATTATAATATTAATTCCTTGTGTGTAACTTATCGTTTTAATTCCTTGTCATTTTAACCTTCTGTGTAAAAGGGGCCCCATTTCCGAAGTTCACCTTGGGCCCCTTAAATCTCAGGGGCGGCCCTGGTCACGACCCAAGCCATCCCTTAAAAGTTCGGATCATAACCAGTTAATAATCACTGAATTACCTTCGAACTCAAACAAACATATAGAATAATTATAATAGTGGGGCCATAAGTGGAAGCATAACACAATTGAAGAAGTCCATTGAGCTGTGCCAAAATGATCAAAATTATACAGCTTACAACATAACACATTCACATATTTATATGACCATGCAAAAACTTATGTACCAAAGACCATTCTATACATATGGTTTACATATCCCAAGACCATTTAGCAAAACGAAATAAAAGTCGTAACAGAATGTGAGTCAAAAACCAAAAGCTTCATCTTTGAGACTCAACCAAACAGGTTCACAAAAATAATTCCTGAGGTAGACTCTAAGGTTGACTTCCATGCTGATCACCTATACACATACAACATAGGGGGTGAGTGACGCTCAATAAATAATAGTAAAGTAAAGTGAATCAAACGAATAATCTTGATTTAAAAGAAAGCTTATTATGTTAACACAATACTCTTCCACAATTACATCCTTCTCAACCTTATCCATAATCATATTTATAGAACGGCCTTAAGCCCAACACATTACGGAACGATCTCAGGCCCAACATATAACAGAACGGCCTCAAGCCCAACATA